CGCGGCCCGTGGCTGTGCCCGCCGGCACCCAACCTCCTTCCCCCAGCGGCGTGGGACGGGTGGCCGGGAGCCTTGCCCAGAGGTCCCTGGTGTCAGCCGAGACGTAATGCTGCTGTCCCCCCTGTCCCAGGAGAGGCACCCGGTCCGAGGTGCTTTGCTGCAGGACAGTCTCCAGTTGGTGCTTGTTTACCGCCTTAGTGAATAAGTTAGCTTCTTTTTTCCATGGGGGGGGGGGATTGAGGGGACCAAACTTGATCTTGAGTGACAGTTTCATTCATTGCACGTTGAACTGTGAACTCCCAATCAAGTGCAGGTTATGGGAGACCTGATTTATTTGACCTGTAGCAAAGCAATGAAAGTGAATTTTCTTTGAAAGTGGGGTCAGGACATTGATAAATAACCGCTGATTTTCGGTTTTAGTGTCAGTGTTTTTAATCCCGTTACCATTGGGACGTGATGCTTCTTGTGTTGATTAGTTCAATTCGTTTTAATGACAAGAAGTACATTTTATGAATTGTGAGATGTTTAGCAAACTTTTTTTAGGGTCGAATTTAGGAGGATTGTTTTATACACGGTGATAGTTACTTTTGATGTTGGAAGCATTCTTTTCACACGATTTGGAATTACGACCAAATGAAGATTGATTTTAGAGTATTCAACTTTTTCTGCCTTTGGACTTTAGTGATTTTATTTGAAACCTCTCTTCACATTTATTGTTGCATGTTCTGCCATCAAATAGGTATTGTTCCTCGGCTTTCTCTTTCCACCTCTGGGATGTGGTGCAGGAAGTGGACCTGAAATAAATGAGGAGGCAGGTGGAAATTTCTTTGGCTCCGCTATCAAACTCTTTTATACTCTGGATAAGAGAAGTTGTGTGCTCCATAAATTTTCCAGTCTGTTTATAATTGATTTGACTTGTTACTGAAGCAGGATGCTTGGACTTCATAATTCCGGGGTAGGGAGGGGGAGATACATACAAGATATTCTACAAGAAAATTTGTTTTTATTGTCATGGGTCATAAAGGATTGTTTCTGACTCTCGTTGAGCATGAGTAAGAAAGTTGGGAGTGAAGTAAATGGAATCTTTCACTTTCACCCCATTCTTTTATATTTATGCAATATGATGATACTGACCATTAGCAGCTTGCAGTCTTTAACAAGTATTATGTGCCTACTCTGAACTAGAAGTTGGGGATGGAAAGATAAGGATGGGAGGAGATCCCCAGTCTCATGGAGCTGACATAATTGTGGGGATTGTGAGCATAAAAAAAAAAGAAGGTAAGTTCAGACAGTGATCCATGATTTAAGGAAAATAAAACAGAATTATGTGATAGAAAGGGATGGAGTGCGCCTGTTTAGATAAAAATGGAAGGCCTTTCTAAGGAAATGACATTCTGAGGTGAGCACTGGTGATGGAAAATATGAAACCAGCTTTTTTCTCTTGGCTGGAGGAAAAGCAGTACAAGATCATGGGCAGAGGATGAACCGAACACATTCACGAAGTGGATGAGGGTCTTCTGGGATGTGTAGCCTTGGTATTGGATTCCTGGGAGAATGAAATAGCTGGTTCTCTGCCCATCCTGGGGGCTTTACAGAGAGGTTCTCATTGCTCTGCAGCTTCCTCTCTACTTTACTGAGTGGTTTTATGTCCGGTGGGAAGACATTGGAAGTAATTTTTCATCCTTGTTGCTACTCTTAACATTGGCACCAAAAAAGAATGCCTTGGTTTTCATTTTGTCCAGCCAGTATATCGAAAGGATTTTCTGTAGGGCTTCACAATTTGCACAAGGTAAATTACTTCCTGATTACTGGAACTGAGCGGGTTAGTAGGATAGCAGGAGGCCAGCGAACTCTCGGTAAATATCATAAAGCTGTTAACTTCCTCAGCAAATAGCTTTCACTTTTATGAAGGTGAGCTACGCTTACCTTGAAAAGGAATTATACCTTTTTGGCATTAGATAAAATAATTTGCAGTAGAATATTGGAAATACTTTTTTTGCAGCTAGGGCAAACTTTTTCATAGTGAGGGTTTTTTCTTTCTGTTGAACTTAGTCATTCTTGATAAAATGCTAAAATAATTTACCCTGGAATTTACCTGTAATTGACTGTTATGATTGTTGTTTCCTATAATCTGTGTGGCCTTAGATGTGATGTTTATCTTTTGAGTCTTACTTTTCTTCCTTATAAAATGGGGACTTATCTCCTGGTGAGTACTAGTCTCATGGAAGTTTGTGAGAATTAAATGAAATCATGTATGGAAAGTGCATATGGCAAGTTACTTGTGAGTATTATATTATTCATGTGCTTTCTTTCAAACGATTAATACCTTTAAAAAACAGACTCATATAAGCCTGAGCAGGAACAGGTGTCATTGAGACCAAAGGTAAGAAAAACCTTGAGGAAGTTCTGAGACTCTATCCCTATCTCATCAGTGATTTGCTTCAGACAGAGAAAGTCACATCAGGCTTCATTTAGGAAATGAATTCTTCAGATTGGTTATAAAAGTGATTTTCTCTGCAAGTAAAGCTTCAGAGAGAAATGTTTGTGTGCTTGTTTTTTTTTTTTTCCCCTGGACTTGCTCAGCTGGTCAAGCAAAGCCTGATAGTTGACCATGGTTATTGTTTGTTGTGTTAGTGTCCCCATTTGCGTAAGCTATCCAGTGGCTCTCCAGCACCACCCACTAGGAGTCTAGACCTGTGCTCTTCTCTCTCCCTGGTGACTGTCTGCTCTGTGGGAAGCTAGGACAGTGCTAGTAAGCAACAGACATCGGCCCCCTCCTCTTCAGAAGTGAGTGAGAGGTCAGGAAGGGAGATGTGTGATGCCACCACACCCCTTTCTGACTTGTCATTCTATACTGGCTGTTTTGAGAAAAGATGACAGCTGGGCAGTGTATCTAATGGGGGCATTTTCTCATATACTATTAAAAAGCAGCTTGTTTTGCTATTTTAAAAATTATTTCTTTGAGTGGTTGCATTGTGGCTTCTCTCTTCCTTGGTTTGAGTCTTATAGTGGCAGGAACAAGGAAGTAGGGAGCCCTCTCCTGCTTCTGGTATTTAAAGTTCTTATGATTGAAACGTAGTCTGTGTTTGTGCTTGAATGCTCTTTCATAAACTTAAATTACCATATTTACTCACATCTAGATTACACAATATGTCTGGAATATCTCTAGTAGCTTCTCCCATATCCAGAGTTTTCATATGATTTTATTTTCTAAAGTAAATTAGAAAGTGAACATTTTTGTGTTTGACTGAGCACGTGTATGACACCCTGGATCCCTTTAAAATGACAATAATACATGTGTGGCACACCAAAACCACAGATGGTATTAATGAACCTGCAGTTCTGGCAAATTTATAGAAGGCAGGAATCTTGTGGTATTATTTAAGAAATAAATCGGCTGGTCTCGCTGGCTCAGCCTGTAATCCCAGCACTTTGGGAGGCCAAAGTGAGTGGATTGTCTGAGCCTGCGGGTTTGAGACCAGCCTGGGCAACTTGGCCAAGAGACCCCGTTTCTACAATAAATAAAAAATTCCTTTGGGAGGCTGAGGTGAGTGGATTGCCTGAGCCCGCGGGTTCGAGACCCGCCAGGGCAGCGAGACCTCATCTCTACAATAAGTCAAAATATCATTCGGGCGTGGTAGCGTATGCCTGTAATTCCGGCTACTTGGAAGGCTGAAGCGAAAGGATCGCCGGAGCCCAGCAGGTCGAGGCTGTGGTGGCCGGAGCGGCCACTGCACTCCA